TAACAGACAGTTTGTCCAGTAATTTTGCTCAACGCAATCTACAATCCTCAAACTGGAACTCAAACAAACACCTTGTCATGTAATTTTTAACTACAAGTAAAAGAGTAAAGAAATACGAACATTGCACTTTGTTCCAGAGAAATTCTTTAAATCAACGGGAACATAGTAACAATCAATGTCAGATCAAGCAATTATCAGCAATTTCTTTACCTGAAAACAAAATGAGAGAAAATTGACTGAAAAAGAAGCTGAACTTAACACTCCTACTCCAGCATGGATCGACTTGCTTTTTGCAGCGCCTATCTATGCAACTTAGTTGCAGTTTTTCTTCTTAACTATTCTGAAATTTTTTCTGCATTACTTTGCCAAGAAAATGTCAAGCTGCAGAGAATTGCCTGGCCCAAAAACAGCTAGACTTTCAGAATTTCTTTTGGTTTGACTAGGATGGTCTCCGCAACCACGGACATTCTTGGTTTTCCATCTTGACATCTAGCATTATTCCACTCAAGATTTCTCACAGTTCATGCAGAATCACACATTAATATCGAAAATCCAAGGTTTTATTGTCCATACCATCAGCCTAACAGCCTAAGCAAGTTAAGATGCATACCAAGAACAAGCAGAAATGTTTTCCTTGGGAATTACCATCAGTACTAGAGCGACTATATGCTACTGAGCTTAAAAGGTCCCTCATTTCCAACAGCATACAATTTCTTCTTTCTGTTTTAAGAATTTCATCCCAATTGATCAAGATCCAAACATTAAAATAATTGAGCTTTTTTTTCACCGTGAGGCTGCAAGTTGCCTAACAACCTCCTTTCTCTGGTCCAGAAAGTGACAATTAGAAAAGCCAGAAAATAAGTACGGCAAGAAAGAATTTCACCATTTACTTAATGAAGCAATGACAAATGACAGATTTCAACATTACAGAACAGAAATGGAAAAAACAAAAACTAATCAGGCAGAGAAAAAAGGGGAAATGACAAGAAGCAAGTCATTTATGCTGCAAGTACTATTCAAGATATTAGGTGGAAAGTAACTCCAGAAAACACATACTAGAGATTAACATATCTATATAGCTCCATTTGCTTACAATACGTGTTTGATCATGTGTGCTTTGTGGTGGTTCTGCTTATACAATTTTCTAAATGCTATCCAGGACAATTGTGAACTCCACCAAGCCATAAAACTGATCGTACACCTAACTACCAATTACCATCAGCATGATTGTGAAGTGACATCAGGATTAGAGTCCAGCTCCCACCAACCTCTGGCATCTTCATTTTGCAAACAACCAACATCATCACCATCTAGAATATTATCAATATCTCCATCCTCACTATCATTGCCATCACATTCATCCTTGCTCTCATGATTATCAAACTCATAAACCATGCCGTGCAAGTTTTTCGCTACCTCTGGATCATATGTCCACTCCAATCTCTTCAAGACATCACGGTCCTTCCACCGTCCCACAACCGTTTCTGCATCCTTCTTAGCCTTTCCCATCAAAATTTCCTGCCAAGAAAATCCTGCATCGGCAACCCTCTTCAATGCCCCATCATTAACATCCCCTACCACAACCGTCTTTAAACATCTAGATTTAGCCTCCTTCAAAACATGAACAAAATCCGAATCATCTGATACAAGCACGAAACACTCAGCTCTCCTCTTATCCATCATATCTACCATATGATCTTTCAATGCCACATCCGCTGCCTGTGGCTTATCCAAAACAGTCCTAACCCAAAAACCAGCCCTTTTCAACTCATCAGCCAAACCATAACCTACTTTTGGAGTCAAAATATCCCTAGCAGCATTCTTATACTTCTGCATCTTCATTGCATACTTACCCACTAACATAACTCTCCTCTTCCCTCTTGCTGATTCTATCTGATTCAACCTCTTTTGTTGCTCACGCTCATGAATTTGCTTAAAATGATTAACGAACTTCTCATTATTATAAAAATTCCTTCCACAAACCCTGCATAAATAAGGTTCTACAGGCTTAATCACACCCTTATTTTCTAACTGATTCAACGACTTTCTCTGCTTTCTGTCCTCTCTCACAACTTGAGGCACGTAACTAAATGCATGCCTATTAGCGTAAGCCACCATGTATTTAACAAATCCAAATGAGCACACAGCAGTTTTAAGCTTAATAGCAGCCTCGAATGGAGAGACAGTTTTGGGGGGTTTGTTGTCCAAATCCCAGAAAATTGCAACATTGTTTTGGGGTTTCTGAGGTGATAAAGTCGGCGTTAGGCTTGAAGAGCCCAAACCCGGTTTTGAATCAAAATGGAAGAATCTACACAATTCAAAACACGGGTTTTGGTTTTTTACCCGTGTAGATTTTATTGAATGGGAAAAGTTTCGAAATTTGAGAAACATGAGCATATGCAGAGGTGTTTGTTGATACAAAGCAACCGAGTCTTAAAAACTGGAACTTTTTCATATATGGAGAGAGAGAGAGAATACAGGGCTAGCTTATGTTGTTGGGATTATAGACATTTCTTCGGTTGCTTGCAAAGTTTCAAGAAGTTTTTGCAGGCCATGAGCAATCGACTTTGCAGAAGACCATGAATCGGCTGCCGTGACTAAAAAAGGGCATCTCGTTACTCTTTGTAGAATTGGGCTTGTATATGTATATGGTGGACTGACCTGAAAATTTGGGCCATTGCAATCTTACAACAACAGCTATAATTCAAAAACGACCAATTTCATTGGGCCATTGCAATCTTACAACAACAGCACCGTTTTTACCTTTCTCGAATCCTCTTTTTGTTTTTTTTCTTCAACTGGTCAAAATCCGTTCACCTCTTTCTTCAATTCTTCGATCAACAAGAACTCGAAAAGGCAAAAAAGAAATAGAGAAAGTTGATACAATGGAAACACTAGACAGGAGAGACGTGATTATATTTGACAGTGATTTAGAAAATAGAGTGAATATATTTTTATCTTGTTTTGTTGTCGGTGAATAAAATAAAGAATATATATTTTATATTACAAAAAAATTAAGTAAATTAATTTAGAAATGATGAAGAAATGTTGAAGTATTGATCAACTAATTAACAAGAAAAACAAACATATTTCTTTAAAATTTAAAATTAAGCATTTGAATGAGGAATGTTTTAACAGGTTAAAGATCTATAATAAGTTGATGAGAATCTAATCTAGATAAATTATATGAATAACCTAACATATATTTTTATAAATTAGTGATATAGATTTAGATTTAAAAAGAAATTTGATGGTGTAAATTAAATTAGCTACAATATATTAATAAATACAATTGTTGGTTTGACCTTAAACTTTTCTAAATGATTCTATAAGCAAGTTTAATATAAAAATGAGTATGTTCTTATTGGACTAGTGGTTATTTTAAAATTATGCTCAAAAGCCATTGTTTAAGATAATTTTGTTATTTTTCTAGGTGTTTTTGGATTTATTATTTTATCTTAGATTATATTTTTGAATTCTTAGTTGTTTTCTAGTAAAAGTATTATGGTCTAATTAAAATTATTGTAAGCTTTTTAAAAAATAGATTTCCGTAATAAGAATAAAACTATAAATTTAAAATTTATATTTGTAGTACTTTTCACTATTGTTATTGCCCAATAATTGATGAGGTGTTGTTGCCCATTTAGCTTCCTTTATGTCAAAGATTCATCCCAATAGATATAGATTTAAGGTCATATGTGATAAAAAAAATTATCTCAATTCCGAAAATTAAACTATTAAATTATATTATTTTTTAACAAATCTTTTCAAATGAAAATATTTTAAATTTAAAACTTGCAAGCCTAAAATATCTTGTGTTCAATTCAACTTTTATGTTGCATACAACTAAAAATTATTATTATCACATCACATGAACCAAATATTTATAAATATTATAAATTATCGTAGACAAAATATATATATATATATATATATATATATGTGTGTGTGTGTGTGTGTGTGAATACAATTAATTTGAAATATATAATAATCAATACATAAATAAATTATAAATAATAATTAAGCACTAAAGTGAGAAGCTAATTTTTTTTT